AAAAAAAAAAAAAAAAACCTGGTCCTATCCATTGCAATATTCTAAACATATTTTAAACATGACACAGGGGTGTTAAAACATATTTCAAACATGACACTAGGGTGTTAAATCAGCTTTTTAACTTCCTAGCAAGCGGGTTTTTCTCTTTCGTGGCATTGCATTCTTTCATCCTATCCATTGTTCTTACCCTATCACCTGGTGCTGTCAGTTGCTCCCCCCACCTTTATAATGTGATAAAAAATGGAACCAATGTCATATATAACAACCAAAATTTGCCATATGATATCTTAATTCCATTAGAGCACCAAAATGTAAGGATAACATGCCTATTCCATCATACTTATAGAATAATTAACTATTCCATCACATGTTAAGGCTATCAAAAACCAAATCCGTGAACCTTTTAGTTCATGTCTAGTTCTGGTGAACCCTTTTTTTTGGTTCCAAAGAATTCTTTTCCATTTTCATTAGTTATCATCCTCATAACCATTCAAGAAAAGGGGGGAGGAGCATATTTCTGGGTTTTAAACTAGGAAAATCCTCCACTAACGGAGCAATCTCGAGGTATTCTGCACTCTCATTCAAAAAGATACATGAGTTTCACTGAACCAGACTACAGGTAATGAGGATGATAAACCGAAACCTGTTGAAAACAAACATATGTTACTATCACACCTGTGCTCTGGTATCATCTAATTTTCCTATTCTTCTTCTATTCAACAATGCAGCTCCCCATCTCCCTTGCATAGTGATAGACGTTCCTCTCAGTCTCCCTCTCCCCCTCTCTCCTTCCATCTCTCTTTCATACACCCGCGCAGCCATTTATGTGCAGCAACAAAAACAAAGTACTTTATTTGTTTATGTTTCTTAAACTCTGCAATGAGATATATGGCATGGAGTATCTAGTTGTCTCTTACTATTTCCATCATCTAACTTCTGCTGAGTCTTGCTGTGCTTTTAAGTTTTCAGCTCTTTGTATTAACGGAGTCTTGGAAAAATCAATTTTTTTTTGGCCAAATGGGGCTATCTAAAGAGTCTGCTTAAATAGTTACAGAAAAAGGGGTGAACTGAAAAGAACCTTCAATAGCCAAGTGTTTCTGGAAAGTATGTATGACTAAGAACAGATTCAGAGCAAACCTCCAATAGCAAAAGGCTGCTCCAAGACTGTGCCTCCAAGAGGGATCCCATATATTTTGCCTCCTTCATATTTGTCCCAACCACCAATAATCATACCTGTTTGAAGCCTATCCTGAATGTACAGAGCAATGAATCACATAAATATAAAAAATAGATCATATATTATAACCAAGAGGGGTTGCTCTGATGGTAAGCAACCTCCACTTCCAACCAAGAGGTTGTGAGTTCGAGTCTCCCCAAGAGCAAGGTGGGAAGTTCTTGGAGGGAAGGATGTCGGGGGTCTATTTGGAAGCAGCCTCTCTACCTCAGGGTAGGGGTAAGGTCTGCGTACACACTACCCTCCCCAGACCCCACTAAGTGGGATTATACTGGGTGGTTGTTGTTGTTGACATCATATATTATAACCCAGGTCATATATTATGTATGATGTATGTAGCTTAGTGGCCAATGAAGTAGGTGTAAACTTTGGAGATCAGAATTCAAATCCCAACTAAGAAAAAAACACTTGGTGATTGGCAAAGTTACCAGTACTTAACAATTTAAAAAGTATACTGGTTAGAGAGCAAACCTTGTTGTTATAGGACAATAACCTAGTAAGGTTCGCCGCAACCTTGACAGTAGCCGGCTGGCCTAGCTGTATCCTGCATTCACAAGAAGTCTCAAGACTAGAAGCTCGGAAAAATAACTTCACATAGTAAGGGGCAAACAGTGCAATCATACTATTCTCTCCCTTTCAATTTATGTGAACCTATTTCCTTTTTACTCCGTGCCAAAAAGAATTACCCCTTTTCTTATTTGGAAATAATTTGCCTTCATACAATGATTTATAGCCATACAAAATATATGTGCCTCATTTTACACAAGTCCAAAAGTCTTCTCTCTTTTCTTAAACTATGTGCCCAGCCAAATAGGTTCACATAAATTGAAACAGAGAGAGTATTACATTACCTCCTGCCAAATATATAGATATACAAAGAAGACAGCTAATTCATGGCCCTAGTTATAGAGGATGTGATTCAAACATCAAAGAAATATACACAAAAAGGAGAAACAATTTTACAATAAAGAAGATAGCTATGAAGAAGCTAACAGTTAAAAATTGCAGCTTGCCAAAAGAAAAGAACAAAGCTGATACCATAAAAATAAGTCTCGGGCGGATAGGGGCCCTTTGGGGAGGGGGGGGGGTTGCAAGTTTTTGGTACAAGGCAGGGATCCACAATGTAGGCACTTGAATCATTAAAAGATGGAATATAGATTATAAGTGAGGGAAGAAGCTTACGTGTGTTGGTGTAGGAAGTAACGAACATAGTCTGAAACAATTTGGGAATCTGCTGCCTACAAAAGCAACATTGTATATAAGCCATAGAGAATTCCACTTTCTAGGATTTATTTTCAACCATCAAGGTACTTTTAGTTCTCAGTACCTTACAACTGTTCAAATTTATCTCTAGACCATCAAGTTCACGTTTTATTTTTATGTGTAAGCTAATGCTGTTGGTAATGGAGTTCTATGTCAACCAAATGGTAATCGTGGACAAAGGAATAGAAGCTCTGGTCCGTAGATGGCCACATATTCTTATGCTTTCTTCATCCTCGATGATTCAATAGAGTATGTGATGAGAGACATGCTAATTAGAGCATCAATTGCTTATCAGAATACTTGACTTTTTTTGTAATCAATTACATCCTCCGGGTGATTGATTTAGTGAAAGCTTACCTTACTTGATGAAAGAAAAGATCATCAACAACACTTCAGGGTGTGGCCAATATAATGCACAGACATAAAATGGATGAATGCTTAGTGCCATACTGAAATTAGAAATGAATAGCGGGTCAAAAGCTTATGTGGACTTAGCTACTGACAGTAGAGAAAGATAAGGGAGGCTAGGGCAGTGGATTATCTAAGACTTGGGAATGGGACAAGGTTGAGGAGTGCCTTAGTGAAATCTACTTAATAGGGGCAGATGGGGTGACAAGATGATATGAAGGGGATTAAGGCCGAAAAATTCTTCTTCTTTTTTTAATTAGGTAAAAGTTATGGCCGACAAATACTCTAGGTAAACATTTTTATATGGAGCTATTAGATAGAGGTTGAAGAAGGTAACAAGGCACCAAGAAAATAAAACCTTTTACAATTGGTGGTAGCACAAGATTCAGTTCTAGTGGCAGATAATCTTAGGAAAAGAACAAATTGTTATGAGTTGCGTATGTAAGAAGCACAGTGAGGACAAACACCACCTCGTGCTTCATTATAGCTTTACCTCACAGATATGGATTGTGGTTTCGCTATGTCCAACATTTCATGTATTTCACCGAGACAGCGGATGAAGCAATCTCAAGTTGGAGACCAGAAAAGACAGGCAAGGAGAGGACAGTAGCCGGGAGAACATCATTATTGTGTTTCTTTTGGCTTATTTGGAATAGAAAAATCTGAGACTATTCTATAATACTGAGAACAAGTATTCCTGTTGGCGCCTAAGGGTGTAGTCTGGTGGTCAATGAAATTGGGTGGAGAACCATGAGGTTTTAGGTTCAATAAATCCCTTAGTGGTTATTTCTTCGCATCTATCTAACCCTTGATGGACTGCGTTACGAGATACGTGTCCTAGTGGGAAGCAGCAGATAACCAGTGAATTCGTCGAGGTGCGCGTAAATTGACCCAGATACCACCGTTATAAAAAAAGAAAAAGTATTAAAATCCTTTTGTTCATTAGTACTTTTGGTGTAAAGAGAGAATCTTCACTTGTATTCACAGATTGGATGATATGTTATATGAAGGTGGTTGTCATTAGCCCTGTTCATATATTCTTTTAACACAAATTTGGTGTATTTATAATGAAAATTACTTGAATTACCCNNNCCCCCCCAAAAAAAACAAAAAAAACAACTACAGACTAAAGTTGCAAATGAAGCCTTAGTGCAGGATTTAGTCTCATTTCTTAAAGTTCAATACTTGTTTCAAGTTACATTCAACTCTTTTTTTAAACGACATTTATACGCTTCCCCACCTCCTATGCCTCAACCCACCAAGAGAGATAAGAGAGTGCAACATGAAATCATCCTGGTGTAGTTGTCAATATTTAAAAACAATCTCCTTGTCAAATGGAAAGGAGAAATATAAAAAATGGGGTTTCATCAAAACTCCTAAAAGGTACCACGAACTAGAAATGATTTCGCATTAAATCATAAAGACATCCAAGGTCATAGTCGCATAAAACATGATTACCCATTAACTTTGTGAATCCGCTTTATCCAACTTATTCTAAATTAAGTATGATCACATGATAAATAGATTTGATATCACTATGTACTATTTGTCAACCATCCTATACTAGATAAGCATGCCATTTAGCTGTTATTTAGCAGGGTTTCAATGTCATTATTGCCAAAAAATTTAGCCCATAACCACAAATCCCATGTTTTTGAACTTCATAATTTCATCATGTGAGGATTCATCATGATAGCGCACAATGGAAGAAAAGAACTATATAGGCGATACATATTAGTCCAGAGTAAGTTTTAAAAGCTAGCACTTTTACTTTAGGCCTTAAACTCTCTCGAAGTGCTATAACCTTTCAAAGATTTATCTGCTTAGAAACTATACAAAACTTCTAATACTTTTTATTAGCATTAGCATAATATTGGCATAAGATGATTTAAATGGGGCAACGTGAACAGCGAGGAGCCCAACTTGTTTGGAGGTGAGGCATAGTTGTTGTTTTTGTAGAATTTCACCACGTACAATATCCATATACTGAGTTTTAAACCGAATGATAAAACATCCAGATGGCAAAGGAGAAAGGAACCGACAACGCCATATCAGCTTCAGGACAGTTTCTGTTTTAGAGAAATCCCCAAACAAAATAAAATGCTAGCATTCTAAGCTCAAATATGGATGAATATAAAATGCATAAAGGGAATATGGAAAGCATCATACTGATCCGGAGCGGCAAACGTAGACATTATCAGTCAGCTGAGTGATCTTATCAGAAGCCCTATTCGCCACATACATTCCTGAAATTTTCCAGATATAATTAACAAAAAAACAAATGAATCGATGTCTGACAAGATTAAAGTAAAATTAACCCCTTCAACTTTATAAGGAGTTGATAATTTCTGTTACCGGTGCTGGTGCGAGAGTCGGCACCGAGTACAACGCCGCCGTTGTAAGTAACGCCGATAATAGTTGTGCCCATGGAGTGGGGCTGGTCAACATCGGTATTTTCCATCTTAAGCTATACACGAAAATGATCAAACTGGAGTTGTGAAGAAGTAACAACAAAGCCCTAGAAGTAAATCTAAGAAAGCTTTTCGTGAGGAGGAAGATATATAAAAGACTCCCAATCCGTACACTACTGGAAAAATATAAATAATACTACAAAGGGAGACCCCAAATTAGCCTCTTATTTTTGGAACTTCATTCAAAATGGTCCCTAAAATATAAGATGTAGCATTAACAGTCTTCAAAGTTTCTCAAATATGACACACGTGTAATCTAGCTCAACGAGACAAATTCGGTACAAATGCTTCCAAGATGTTTTTAACGTGGGTTCTTTCGGCCGCGTCTGGTCATCGATTCTCAAATTTGTTTTGAAAAATTTGATTTGGGTAAAGTTTGATTTGAAGATGAAAATGTGTTTGGGTATAAATTTTCAAAACATATTTCACTTTTTTTAAAAAAAACATAAAACATAACTTATACTCACAAGTTCTAAAAACTATCACAAATACCCAACAGTACCTTTATCAATAACATCTATTATATTATCGCAAACCATAATCCTGAACATATATAAATTTGGTACAAAATTATCATTTTTATGATGAATTACATAATACACTATCAGATAACCGAGAAGACGAAACAGCATTGTTACAAAATAATAAATTGTGGGCTCTTTTATAAAATACAAAAGTTTGGAGCAATTTTTAAAAAATACAATAGTGATATTTTGCGCCAAAACTGGCTCTTAAGCTAGTTTTAGGATTTGGGTTTGTGTTTTGGGAATTTACCAAAATGTAGATAAAATCTATTGTCAAACATGTATTTGCAAAAAAAAAACAAATATATTTTGGCAAAATCTATGGCCAAATGGGTTAGTAGGCGTTTGGACATAAAAATTATATTTTAAAAAAAATATTTGAAGTTAAATTGAAAAATAGTATTTAGAATTTGAAATTATGTTTGGACATTATCACTTGAAAAAATATTACAATTTTGTGTGAGAAAAAAATTGAAAAACTCATTTTTGAAAAAATTTCAAAAACTTGCAAAATTTCATGGACAAACACTATCCTTTGAAAAATAATTATGGACAAACGAGGCTGTAATCGCTCGTTTTTCTTAAAAAGTTAAAATATAAAATTTCATACGCCTTAAAAGTTTATGGGTAAGTTACGTCAAAGCTTTGGTAAAGGATAAAAAATAACATTTACTAACTAAAGAGAATAATGACAAGTTTTCAAGCTCTCATACAAAAGGGGAAAAAGTCAATCATCTTTTTGTTCTAATACGAAAAAATTATTTAACTATTTCTCAACTACTCTAAATTATGCTTGAACCCTAACTAATAAAATGAAAAATGCTATTATAAAAATATTATTTGAAAAAATCGTATGCAATCACCTATTTCAATGTTCATATAAAATAAATGACATGACGCTTCTCCATTATTTCGAAATACTCCTTAATTAATTGAATGAGAAACCTTAATGAAGAAACTTGTGAGCCACTAATAAATTTTATCTAAAATTAAAAAATTAACTTATTGTCAGTATAATTCTATCAATGGAGTGTGGACAAAAGATTTTAAAAGGATCAATGCATTGAAATAGATAACTGACAAGAAATTATATTTGCATGCGATGTGTAGGAAAAAAATTATATTTCCACGTGATATATAAGACGAATTCTATAGAATTGGAGTGTTTATGCATCGTTATAAGAAAAAATCTCTAAAGCTGGTTAGTACGTCACTTACTCCACCATAGGTACGAGTCTACGAGAGACCATTTTAAGAAAACTTTAATCATTATTTTAAAAGGTATTTTTAGAACGAGCTCGGGGCGCGGCGTAGTAAAAATACACTGGGGCGATCTAGAGGCAAAAGTCTCGTGAGGCATAAGACTCATTTCTCAGGGCATAAGCCTAGGCGATGGGCGAGTTTTTGCTTGTGACTTAAACCCAGAAAATCTCTCCAAATTAAAATTGAAATTACTTAATAAGTCCTAAATTTACTACCAAAAAATTATAAAAATCAGCTTGTTTATTAAAGCTCTAAAAGTTTTAAAAACTTAAAAGCCAAAAGTATTTTTATGCTTTCTCTTTGTCTCCTATTGGATAAAGGAGAAGATGATCAGTCTATAAACAACAAAGCAAAAAAAATATTATCCTTCATCGTCTGCTCTAGTTCGACGCTTGGTTGTATATTCCTTTTCGCTTTTCGTTCTTTCAAGTTCTTTAGATCTTTCAAGTTAGTTTATAATTCTACTAAATTATTTTTCAAAGACCGTCTTATTTTATTAAATGACGCAGTTTTTATAAAAAGTTTAGTCAATTGCTATTTTTGAATAGTATTTTAAGATAGAAATCGGTCTATATACATTTTCACTTATTTTATGTTTCCTTGAACTTCTATATTTTCTAGGCTTACCATTCATCTCGTATCAAGTAACGCGCTCGTGCATTTTAAAATTAAGTAAATGGATATATGGGAGAATAGATTAGATCGACTTAAAAATTGAAGCCTTAGATAGTTGAACTCCAAACAAGCAGCTACGATGCGCCATCAATCCAAGTCAGGCGATCTGAAAAGATCAAACATAAATCATCCGCTAAAAAGTGATAAATATAATAAGTGATCAAGCTAACAACTCAAAAGTACAAGACTGATTTTTTTCAGGATGTGTAAACTTCTTTATATATTTAGACACATATGTATGGGTGTTAATGAATTTTATATTACAAATTATGCTTTTGGTCACAACTTTGTGACAATATCGTAAATAATAAAATTATATTCCAAAGATCTACATTATAATAATTTCTATTATAATAAACCAAAAGTTCGATACGAATAAATAATCTCTACATTTAAATTATATATTATAATTTATATATTACTAGTTCGTGCATTATTATTTTTTTATTGAAATTTTTTTATTGCTAATTCATATGGTGAGAGAAAGATTAATTTATCTCTATAATAGCTTTTCATCTCGTATTCTCGTGTAGTCCTAATCAACACAAATCTCGTCGGAGGTTCCAGCTATTGTATCAATAAAATCTCAAAAACAAACAACCCCTGACTCATTAACTAATGAGCATGAAGCTACAACAGCTGTACAGCTTGCGAGCAATAATTCTTACCCAATGAAAGGCACGAAAAATTATTTGGGAGTGTCCACAACTATTGACTTATTATGGTGAAAAAACAATTCAGTTATCCAAATGAGATAGAGACACTATTTACCCATAAAACGGTACAATTGAATTAATGAATTTGTATGTGATTTAGAGACAAGTGAATTAATTTGATCCTAAAGTAATAAGATAATGCAAGAAATATATAATACTTAGCCTTGATATGAAGACGAAATAACAGAAATAATGATTCTGGCAGCAAAGCCTTTGGGCACAACAGTAATAAGAACAAAAAAAAAAGAAGATGAAGTTGTATGGAGCTTTGAATAGGTTATAGACACCACCGGTGCTGAAAGGACCGGACTCAAAGAAGTATACTCAGTTGTCGTACAAACCAAGCTCGGCACCAGAATTAATCCCGAAGCGATTTAAAATGCCCGGCGTGCCAAAGTATGTGTCACGACCCAAATTCCAACTAATCGTGATGGCACCTAACCCAAACCCGCTAGGTAAGCCAATTACCCTCTATCCAATTTCAATAGAATTTAATGAAACAATAAAGGAAAGAAAATGTCTTAATCTTATACATTTTTCAAGGACTGGTAGTACAAATTATGAGCTTTTAAGAGTAGAATTAAAAAAGCAGGTATGAAATAAATATATCATCTATCCGAAAAGTACATAAATAGAGTTCTTATGAATCTAAGACTACTATGAACAAGAAGCAGCTACAACCGGAACGCAGGTACATCTTCAAGTCCAGCCCCCATCGAACACAGCAACATCATCAGTCAACATCTGTATGCAAGGTGTAGAAGTGTAGTATGAGTACAACCGACCCCATGTACTCAATAAGTAACAAGCCTAACCTTAGGTTGAAAGTAGTGACGAGCTGGAACAAGGGTCGGAATCCAACACCAATAGCCAACAAAGTTCATAACAACATAATGAAAGTAATAGAAGAAGTAAATCAGAAATAAAATACTCAACTCGTTCATAGTTCCAGAAAATAGGCTTGTTTTTCAAGTATATCAGTGAAACCCAAATCTTTTACCGTAATCGCCAAAAATGAGAGTATGTTTGAAAACTACAATTTTTCCCAGAGGCTTTCAACAGGTAAATGTTTTATTTTCAAATGGCATGAGGAAAATACATTTCTATGCCTACATGTCAATATATACATGCCAACTGTAATACCATGCAGTGAAAAAATCATATGCATATTCTCGGTGCATCAATGCACTCAGTCCTCCCAATCACATAGTATCAATATCTTCACAATCAGGCACTCGGCCTCACTCAGTCATCAATCTCTCCAGTCTCTCGGACTCTCAATGTCATGAAATATCAGCCCAAAAATAATGATGTGATGTAACAATAAATAGTAATAGAGACTGAGATATGATATGCATGTAAATGCGTATGACTGAGTATGTAATGCAATGAAAGCAGATAGCTCAACAGCATAAATGAGCTCGGTGGGTCCCAACAGGATAAGCATGTAGCATAGTCATGGATTCTAGCATGGATTACAGCTCAATAGCTCAAGTATGTAGAAATTTCATGGTTACAAGTAAGATCCGGCAACTACATAGTACCACAGAAATAACAAAGTCACAAATCACATGTTGCACGCCCACACGCCCGTCACCTAGCATGTGCGTCACCTCAATACCAATCACATAATGCGTAATTCGGGGTTTCATACCCTCAGCTATAAGTTTAGAAGTGTTACTTACCTCGAACAAGCAAATTCCAATACCGACCAAGCCAAGGGATGCTCCAAGAATGTCATTCTGCACGTACTGACCTCCAAACAGCTCGAAACTAGTCAAAAGTAACTCAAAATAAAGCCTAAGGAAATAATTCCAAATGATAAAGATCGAATCCTTAATCAAAATCCAAAATCGGCCAAAAGTCACACCCGAACCCGTGTCTCGGAACCCCTTAAAGCTCACAAAATCCGACAACCCATT